CTTCCACCCCCCCCTTGTCTCCTGCTCACTCTCCCCTCTTTTCCCCTCTCCCCTTGTCTTCGCCTTCTCCTCTTTCCCTCTCACTTCTCCCCTTTCTTCTCTCCCCTCTCTTTCTTTTCTCTCCCCTCTCTTTCTTCTCTCTTCTCTCTTCTCTCCTCCCTTTCTCTCCTCACCGACATTTAGGAAACGATTGTAAATGTAAGAGAAAGAGAAAGAGAATTAGAAGGAGAGAAAGAATAGAAGAGAATTTTCCCTCTTTGCCTTCCCTCTCCTTCTCCATCTCTCCCTCTCTCCCCTCCTCAACATCCCCCCCTTCCCCTCCTCTTCCCCTCCTACGCTGACCCTCCCATTTCCCCGTTCTGCCTCTTTCATTCCCCCTTCTTCCCCACTATCTTCCCTTCCCTCCACTATCTCCCCGCCCCCCCACTGTCTCCCCCACCGTCTCCCCTCTAGCCACCCTTCCTCTCCCTTCCCCCCTTCGTCCCACTATCTCTCCCTCCTATTCCCTCCACTATACTCCCTTCTCTTCCTCTCCACTATCCCCTCTCCCCACTACCCCCCCCTCCTCTCCCCCACTACCCCCCCTCCTCTCCCCCACTACCCCCCCTCCTCTCATCCATCACTCCTCTTCCCCACTATTCCCTCTCCCCCACTATCCCCCCTCCTCTCGCCCTCCACTACCGCCCCTCTTCCCCACTAACCCCTCCCCTCCCCACACTATCCCCCTCGCCTCTCACTCTCCACTACCCGCCCCCTCCCCGCTCCCCCCCTCCTCAGTGCACACACGCGCCCCCAAAAGACGCTCACGCACACGGCCGGGGACTCACCCTGACTCAGCGCCTCGTCGTGTGTGTCGTTAAATTCACACGGACTGAGGAACCGCTCGAGTCCAGTGCCTTTTTGAAGGAGAAAGGAACGAGAGAGAGAGAGAGAGAGAGAGAGGAAGAGAGAGAGGGAGAGGGAAAAGAAGAGCGCAAGAGAGGAAGAGAGGACCGGAAGGAAGAGAGAGAAAGAGAGAGAGAGAAAAAAAAGAAAGAAAGGTGGAAAGAGAGGTATCAGTTTCTGAGAGAGAGTAAGAGAGGACCGGAAGGAAGAGAGAAAGAGAGAGAGAAAGTTTGTGAGGAAAGGAGGAAAGAAAAAGAGAAAACAAGAAAAGAGAGAAAGAGAGAGAAAGAGAAAAAGAAAGGTGGAAAGAGAGGAATCAGTTTGTGAGGAAAAGAAGAAAGAACAAGAGAAAACAAGAAAAAAGAGAGAGAGAAAGAGAGAAAAGGATCAATTAAGAGAACAAGAAGAAAGAGAGAGGGAGAAGAAAGTGGAAAGAGAGGGATCGGTTAATAAAAGGGAGGAAGAAGGAAGTGGTTGAGATAGATGGTTGGTGAGTAGTGGGATTGAGGGAGGAGATTGAGAGGTGTGGTAATCGACAGAAAGAGAGAGAAAGAGAAGGAAAACGAGAGGAAGAGGAGTAGAGAGAGAGAAAGGCCTAGAAGTAAAGAGAGACGGAGAAAGAGAGAAGTAGTGAGAGACAGAAAAATAAGTAGAGGGAGATATACAGAAAGAGAACAAGAAAGGAAGAAAGAAGAAAGAAGAAGAAGAGGCACGTATCTGTGGAGTGGTTGAAAATAAGAGAGAGAGGAAGAGAAAAGAAAAGAAAAGAAAAATACAAACGGAAATATGGTGGAAACCGATTGGGAGTTTGTCTTTGAGGAGCTTTACTGGTAAGGAACAAACAAACAAACAGACAAACGAATAGAGGAGAGACACGTGTGTTTGCGGGAGAGATGAAGACAGATATTTGGTTTTTGGCGGATAGATAGACAGGCAGGCATAGACAGTGACAGACAAAAGGCAGACTGCGTTGACGGAATCAGACATGCAGACTAAACAGTGCCGGACTGAAAGCAGGGACAGGAGTAGACAGACAGGCACAAAGAAAAGAGAGAGAGAAGCTAACTAGTAAAGGATGATAGAGAGAGAAAGCAGAGTCAGACGAAATTTAGAAGAGAGAGAGAAAAAAGATAGAAAGAGAGAGGAAACTCACAAATTTACACACGCAGACATCTGTATCTTCCAGTTTACCTTTTTGTTGATCTATCTGTTTCTCTGTCTAGGATGTCTAACTGGCTAAGTATCCATCTATATAAAAGCTAGCAGCACATTTATCCATCTATTTGTCTATTTACATACTAAGAACTAGGGGGAGTGAGAGCGAAAGTTCTCGGGGAGGACGGGGGCGAAAGGCGAGGGAAAGGAGGAGGGAAATGAAAGGGAAATGAAGGAAATGACACCAGAGGGCCTCTCTGGGTCCCCCTCCAATTCCCCCCCCCCCTCTCTCTCTCTCTCTCTCTCTCTCTCTCTCTCTCTCTCTCTCTCTCTCTCTCTCTCTCTCTCTCTCTCTCTCTCTCTCTCTCTCTCTCTCTCTCCCTCCTCTCCCTCTCTCCTCCCTCTCCTCTCCCTCTCCTCTCTCTCTCTCTCTCTCTCTCTCTCTCTCTCTCTCTCTCTCTCTCTCTCTCTCTCTCTCTCTCTCTCTCTCTCCTCTCCCTCTCTCTCTCTCTCTCTCTCTCTCTCTCTCTCTCTCTCTCTCTCTCTCTCTCTCTCCCTCCCTCCCTCTCTCTCTCTCTCTCTCTCTCTCTCTCTCTCTCTCTCTCTCTCTCTCTCTCTCTCTCTCTCTCTCTCTCTCTCTCCTCTCTCTCTCTCTCTCTCTCTCTCTCTCTCTCTCTCTCTCTCTCTCTCTCTCTCTCTCTCTCTCTCTCTCACTGCCTCCCGCTTTCCTTCCTTTCTACGTAGGCCTATGTCATATCGTTTCTTAAATACAAGTGCATTTATCCTCTTTCCGAGTCCCCGTATAATTTGTTCGTCATATTATTTGTAGTAGATTTACAAACGAAACATTAAAAACAAAAAAAATAACAAAACATTAAGCAAAAACATTAGGGTATCGGGAAACGAAACTAAACCTCTACAAAACAAACGGCTAGCCTATTGCTGAATTTTGGAATACGACGCAACCAAAAGAAACGAGGTGTTAAAGGCAGGTATTAACAATTGTTTTCGGCGACAAAAAAACAACAATAACAACAGCAGCGGTTGATAGAAACGGCGCGAGCGACAAAGGCCAGCTGGGCGGACAACAAAAGCGAGGAAAGGCGTCTGGGCGGAGCTGCGGCGCTGGACAATAGGCCTATGCATCTTGTGTTGGTGTCCAGGCTCGTCCCCCCCCCCCCCCCCTCATGCCCTCTCTCTCCCTTCCCCCCCTTTTCCCTTTTCCCTCTTCTCGCTTCGTTTTTCACTCTTCCCCTCTCCCTTCTTCCTTCTTTCCTCTTCCTTCATTCGTCTTCCTTCTTTCCTCTTCCTTCATTCGTCTTCCTTCTTTCCTCTTCCTTCATTCGTCTTCCTTCTTTTCTCTTCCTTCATTCGTCTTCCTTCTTTCCTCCTCCTTCTCCTTTCTTCCTTCTTTCCTCTTCCTTCTTCCTTCTTCCTTCTTCCTTCTTTCCTCTTCCCTAATCCCTCATCCGTTTTCCTTCTTTTCTCTTCCCTCTCCTCTTTCCTCAGTCCCCTCTTCTCTTCGCATTCTCCTGTCCCCTTCTTTTCTCTTTCCTCTCTTCCCTTTTCCCGTGTTTCCTCTTTCCACGCTCTTCCTTCCCTTCTCCCCATTTTCCCATCTTTCCTTCCCTTCTCCCCTGTTTATTCCCTCGATTTGCCTCCGTGGATAGAAGATAATGGCGATGATGCTGTGCCACTTATTGTTTGTTTGTTTCCTTCCTCCTTTCCTTTATCTCATTGTCTTTGCGAAGCTGTTTGGTCCACGTTAATAGCACTTGTTTCCTGTTTGTTTATGTTGTTGTCGTTTTTGGGTCTAGTTTCATGGCCTCGTCTTTGTTAGGTTATTGGCTGGTTTGTTTGCTTGTGGTTTTCTGAGTCATTTCTCTTGTGTTCGTTTTTTTTTTTTTTTTGGTTTGTTTGTTCTACATTGTTTGGGATTGAGTGTGTTCAAGTTTATTTTTTCCTGTGATTATTCCAGCAGTATTCCTCTGTTTGTTTACAGAGTGCCGCTTTCTAATATTTCCTTATCTTTTATAAATATCATTCATTTTCTCTCTTCTTTTACCGAAATTCCCAATTGCATTATTCTTATTCTCCCATCTTTTATGAAAATATCATCTTTCGTATATTTTTTAAAACCTTCTCGCGTCATGCAATATTGCAATCAGCATCAAAGGCAACAGAAAGGGAAGAGAAACGGCCGCACGCATAATAACGTCTTTTTATTAACAAATTTCGTTGTGCAGTTGCAAGATCCGCCTTTGCAAGCGTAGGAATGACATGACTGAGAGATCTTTTGTACTGAAAAAAAACTTTTTTTTGATTTTTTTTTCCATTTTATTGAAGACGAGGGAAACATAAAAATTAGACTATATAGAAAAATAAAGATAAGTAAACGATGAGAGATAAATTCATGGAAAAAGGAAAAAAAAAAAAAAAATTGCATCTATGGTCTGTCTGTTTTGATATAAATATATTTTGTTTTCTGGTGATGATAAATGCAGCGCTTGGTAATTCTTGTATTTTTGATGAAAGACTTACTGTAAGACAATCGCAGTTCTGGAAATAATAATAATAATAAAAATAACGACTTTAGTGAACAGATATATAGAGAAAAAACAGCAGCTTGAGGTCACACCATTGCAACTGTGGGCGCGGGGGGGGCGCCTCCTACTTCTTCATCTGGGGCTTGGGCAGGGGTCCCTTGGGGGCCTGGGTGGGGGGGCCCGGCGGAGCCCCTGCGGGCGGGCCCTGCATGGGCGCCGCGCCGGCCGGGGCCAGCGGCGGCATGTCCTCCAGCACCTCGTCCAGCAGCGGGATGATGACGTCGTCGTCGTCGGCCTCCGTCAGGAAGGCGGGCAGGGGGCCCACGGGCGGCGGGGGGCCCATGGGCGCAGGCGGGGGGCCGCCGAACATCGTGGGGGCAGGGGCCGGGGGCGGGGCCGGGGGCGGGGCCTGTGCTAGGGGGTCCATGTGACATGATTGGTCCCATGGCGGTGCCCATGGCCGGGGCCAAGGCTGGCCCCATGGGCGGGGCGGGGCCGGGGGCCTTCATGGCGCCGAGGGCGGGGCCCATGGAGGGCCCGAGGCTGGGCATGAAGCTGGGGGCCAGGCCGGGGGCGGGGCCGGGCGCCGGTTGCGGCACGGGCCCGAAGCCGGCGAACACGGGCGGCGGCGCCGGCTGGCCCTTGGGCGAGGGACATGGGCGGAGGCGCCTGGGGGGCGGGGGGCGCGGGCGCGGCCATGGGCGCTGCGGGCGCCGGGGCGGGGCCCTTGGCGTCAGCGGGCGGAGCCACCTTGACGCGGAGGTTCATGAGCGTGGGCGAGGACGGCTCCTTCTGCGGCGCCTCCGCGGGCGCGGGCGGCAGCGTGGAGGCGAGGGCGGGGCCTAGGGGCGGCACGAAGGTGGAGGCGAAGCGCGGCGACGTGGAGGGCTTGACGCCGCCCGTGGCAGGGCCCAGGGCGGGGTCCAGGGCGGGGCTGAGGGCGGGGCCGACGGTGGGGGCGGGCACTGCGGGGGAGGGCGGGGGGGCGGGGCCTAGTCCCGGGACGGGTCCCGCGAGGACCTCGGCGGGTTTGGCGGGGGCGGCAGGGGCAGCGGGGGCGGCGGGCTTGGCGGCGGGGGCGGCGGCGGGGGCAACGGGCTTGGCGGGAGCGGCAGGGGCAGCGGCAGGGGCAGGGGCGGGCGGGGGGCGGCGGCAGGAGCGGTGGCAGGGGCAGGGACGGCGGCGGGGGGCGGGGGGCGGGGGCGGCGGCGGGGGGGCGGGGGGCGGGGGCGGCGGCGGGGGCGGCGGCGGGGGGCGGGGGGGTGCGGCCGGCTTGACCTCAGCCGGCTTCGCGGGGGCCGCGGGCGGAGCCTCCGTGGGCTTGGCCTCTGCGGGCTTCGCAGGGGCTTGCTGCTTGACCTCGGGAGTCTTGGGGGCTTCCGCTGGCTTGGCGGGGGCTTCTGCTGGCTTTGCTGGGGCTTCTACTGGTTTGGCGGGGGCGTCTACTGGAGTCTTGGGGGCCTCTGCAGGCTTGGCGGGCGCTGCTGGCTTAGCAGGGGCTTCTGCTGGTTTAGCAGGGGCTTCCTGTTTAGGAGGAGCTTCGGCAGGCTTAGCAGGGACCTCTGCAGGCTTGGCAGGGGCTTCCTGTTTAGCAGGGGCCTCTGCTGGTTTGGCTGGGGCTTCCGCAGGCTTAGCAGGGGCTTCCTGTTTAGCAGGAGCCTCGGCAGGCTTAGCAGGGGCCTCTGCTGGTTTGGCTGGGGCTTCCGCGGGCTTGGCGGGGGCTGCTGCAGGCTTAGCAGGTGCTTCCTGTTTAGCAGGAGCGTCGGCAGGCTTAGCGGGAGCTTCCTCAGGCTTAGCAGGGGCTTCCGCGGGCTTGGCGGGGGCTGCAGGTGGCTTGGGGGCGTCCGGCTTCGGCGCTGCCTCCGCCGGCGCCTTGGCCGCCTTGTCGGACTCCGAGAGCCGCTTCTCCTTCTTGGACTTCTCGGACTCCGAGGCCCTCTTCTCGCGCTTCGGCTTCTCGGACTCCGAGGGCTTCTTCTCCCTCTTGGGCTTCTCGGACTCCGAGGATTTCTTTTCCCGCGGGGGCTTCTCGGACTCAGAGGGCTTCTTCTCGCGCTTCTGTTTCTCGGACTCCGAAGGCTTCTTCTCCCTCTTGGCTTTCTCGGATTCGGACACCTTCTTCTCCCGCGGAGGCTTCTCCGATTCCGAAGGCTTCTTTTCTCTGGGAGGCTTGGCTTCAGCCGGCTTGGCTTCTGCGGGCTTGGCTTCAGCCGGTTTGGGTGCCTCGGGCTGAGCAGGAGCAGCCGGTTTGGCTTCAGCAGGTTTGGCCTCAGCCGGCTTGGCTTCTGCAGGCTTGACCTCAGCAGGCTTAGGTGCCTCAGGCTTAGCAGGAGCTGCCGGTTTGGCTTCAGCAGGCTTAGCTTCAGCAGGTTTGGCCTCAGCTGGCTTGGCTTCTGTAGGCTTGACCTCAGCAGGCTTAGGTACCTCAGGCTTAGCAGGGGCTGCCTGCTTGGCTTCAGCAGGCTTAGCTTCTGCTGGCTTTGGTGCCTCGGGCTTAGCAGCTTCAGGTTTAGCAGGGGCGGCCTTCTTGGCTTCAGCAGGCTTAGCTTCAGCAGGTTTGGCCTCAGCTGGCTTGACTTCTGCAGGCTTAGGTGCCTCAGGCTTAGCAGGAGCTGCCGGTTTGGCATCGGCTGGCTTAGCTTCAGCAGGCTTTGGTGCCTCGGGCTTAGCAGCCTCCGGTTTAGCAGGGGCGGCCTTCTTGGCTTCCGCAGGCTTTGGTGCCTCGGGCTTAGCAGGGGCGGCCTGCTTGGCATCGGCTGGTTTGGGCGCCTCGGGCTTGGCGGGAGCTGCCTTCTTGGCTTCCGCAGGCTTGGGCGCCTCGGGCTTGGCAGCCTTGGCCTCGGCCTTGGGCGCGGCCTTCGCGGCCTTGGCCTCGACGGGCGCGTCGGCCTTGGCGCCGCCCTCGGCGGCCTCGGCGGCCTCGGCGGCGGCCTTCTCCGCCTTGGCCTTCTTCTTCCTCCTCCTCCTCTTCTGCGTCTTGGTGAGCGGCGCGTCCAGCTCGGCGCCCACAGGGGGCACCTGGCCGGAGCGCGCCGGCAGGATGGACGCCATGCCCGGGATGCTCTTCATCAGGGCTTCGCGGTCCTGCTCCTGCAGCTTCTTCTTCTGCTGGCGGCGGGCGCGGCGGCGCTGGTGCTTCTCGGCGTCGGGGTTGTCCTTCTGCGGGAGGGGGGGGGGGGTTAGAGCGCCCTTGGTTGGGGTGGAAGGGTTGGCGTCGACGGGCTGAGATTTGTTTTTGTTATTATGATTGTCATCATCATTCTTGTGCGCCTGGCAGTTGGTTATTTATTTAGTCATAGCTTCCATGGCTGCTTTTTGTGTGAATTCTGAAAGTGATATCTATCTGCTTATCTATGTCTATCTATTTATATGTGTATAGTTTTTTATTATTTATTTATTTATTTATTATTAATCTATCTGCATTAGAAAGCAAATAAACAAATGTGTCGAGAGGTCTTTGTGGGGTGATTAATAGGCTTAAGATTCGTAAGTAAATTATGTTTCCCGCGACAACATGCTACAGCCAGATTTAAAGGTGTATTTAGAACCTAGATTAAGTGAAATCTTAATTAGATTTTTTATGAGGAAAATTGTTATTGCCTAAAGTGTGTCCTATATCTATACACAGGCATATTTACATAGAACCGAGATGAAGTTGATTCATAATCATCTTTGCACTGTAATGAGGAAAACTATTATTAAATCTTATCCATCTGGACTGTCTCCTCTGCCTGCGAAATTGGAATAGCGAAACGTCTTTTATTTAACAGGCTCATAAAGGGTTCTGTTGCTTCATAAATAAGGGGAAACAGAGTCAAAGGTCGGATATTAAAGGCCTCATATGAAGAGCGACCTCGATATTGCGTCGCGAAAGGAATAAAGAGGTGTTGTTCAGTAAGTAGCAGAGTGTACTACAAAGGAGGGATTTATTCAGTTAATTTGTATTTGTCGCAAAAGATGGCTTTATGAGGAATCGTCAATTATTTACTGGTTTATTCATCCATTAGATCCATTAGATGTATACCTTAGTATACATTGACCCCAGACAAATAATAATGATGATAATAATAATAATAGTAATAATAATGATAATAATAATATTGATAATCATAATAATCATGATAATCATAGATCAAATTAACATGTATTACGAAACAGAGAAGCGAAAAATAACAAAGCAGACTAACAACAGAGCAAAAAAAAGGAACGAGAGTGGGCCTTGCCTGCTATTACTACTGCCTTCTACTGTTACTATTATTTACTCCTACTACTACTACCTACTACTCTTACTACTCCTCGCCCCCCCCCCTACGTACCGCGCACTTGGACCACCACTCGTCCTTGAGCATGTTCTCCTTGTACTCCTCGAGGCCCTCGTCGAAGCCCTGCCACGAGCCCGTGCCATCCTTGCTGCTCCGCCCCGTCATCCTGGCTTCCTGCGGGAGGTCGGACGGGGTCAGTCGGGGGCAGAAAGGGGGGGAAGGGGTCATGGGGGTGGTGGTAAGGGGAAAGGGAGGGGAGGTAGGGGGTGGTGGAGGGGGGAGGGGAGGGTGGTGGAAGGGGATAGGATAGGGGATGAGAGACAGAAAGGGGATGGGAGGAAGAAGAAGAAGAGGAAGAGGAAGAGGAAGAGGAAGAAGAAGAGGAAGAAGAAGAGGAAGAAGAAGAGGAAGAAGAAGAGGAAGAAGAGGAAGAAGAAGAGGAAGAAGAAGAGGAAGAAGAAGAGGAAGAAGAAGAGGAAGAAGAAGAGGAAGAAGAAGAGGAAGAAGAAGAAGAAGAAGAAGAAGAAGAAGAAGAAGAAGAAGAAGAAGAAGAAGAAGAAGAAGAAGAAGAAGAAGAAGAAGAAGGAGAAGGGAGGAGGAGGAGGGAGAGGTGGAGGTAGAGATCGAGAGAGATCGAAATGAAAAGGAAAATGAAAGATGGCGGCTGATCGAGATCGGCGATTCTTGGAACGGGATAAAGGCAGCGGGTGATTGGGTTGCGAACGGGGATTGGATAATCAGTGCTGGAGATTTGGGTCATAATGGGAAATAAATATATGTTGCAACGCACACACGCTAATGTATGTTGCAACACGCGCTCGCACGTACATACACACACACACACACACACACACACACACACACACACACACACACACACACACACACACACACACACACACACACACACACACACACACACATACTTACTTTTGACTCACACATTGCATCAGTAAAGATATGAATCCGACTAATTGATCTTCAAAAAAAAAAACATGTATTTATAGATCAATCTGACATGCAATTTGCACGAGGGAATATTTAGACATAGCACTGTCCTCACTCCTTTCCCCTACGACCTGGTTTTGTTTCTCTCCCTTAGGTCTAACACATTTTCCAATTCAACTTCTTTGATATAACTTGCCTTTTCTCAGTGCCAGAAAGTGCCAGGTAGGCGCACACTCACTCACTCTCACACACACCTGGGGACTGCCGGCTGCGTTGTGGAAAATAACTAAAAACGCGTACAAGTTTTTGGCAAGCCATTTCTCCGCTGTAGAAAACGGGAAGCTGCAACGGCGGGGGAGACTTGAGCAAAATGGGGGAAAGTTAATGGGGGTGGAAAGCTGTTTGCAGAATAGACTGGAAATGTATGTACATATTATCGATTATTTTTATGTATGACAATAACGGAGATGTATAAGGCAATATATATATATGTATGTATATATATATATATATATATATATATATATATATATATATATATATATATATATATACATATATATATATATATGGATATGTAAAGTTTCCCATGTTGATGATTATTGCGATGAAGGAATTCTCAAAGAAGGATTACAGAATGAGTGTCCTTTCGAAACACAAATATCTTTAGGGTCACGTGGAAATAGCGAGTGGCAGAGTCATGTTGAATAATGCCAGGATGAGTAAATCGTGACATTTGTGAGTAATAGACGATGCTATAAAAAAATCAAATACTCGGCATCCCACACTATGACAGTTATGAATTTATTTTTATTTATTTATTTCTTTAAACCAACGGAAAATAAACATCTCACACTGCATCGTAACATCCCCGATTGTCTTTTCACTATTCTTCACCATGATCACTATCCGACACCATCACGGAGAGGAATTTCGTTTTTCTGACAGATGGAAAAAACCTCCCACTTTACATCACAGCTTCACAATCTTTCTTTTTTCACTCTCTTTCACCATACCCGGTCGCCAGCACTATCTTGAGGTTCATCATCCCACACCATCTCTCTCCCTCTCCCCCTCCCCCCTCCACCCTCCCTCATTCCCTCCCACCTCTCACCTTTCCTCCCTTTTTCCCTCCTTCTCCTCCTTTCCCTCTCTCCCTCATCCCTCCCTCCGTTCTTCCTTCCCTCCCTCCCTCCCTCCCTCCCTCCCTCCCTCCCTCCCTCCCTCCTTCTCCCCCCCCTCCCTCGCCGTCATGTCATCATCAGCATCATCTTCATTAAGCTGATTAGATAATTTTCCATCAGCAGATTTTCGTCCGAGATGAGTGTTGTTAGGCTCTGTGGGGGGGGGGGAGGCCCTTGTCCCCGTCCTCCTGTGGCACTCCTCTTGCTGTGTCACTCTCCTCTCTGTGGTACTTTCCTCGTTGTGGCACTCTCTTCTCTGTGGCATTTCCCTCTCTGTGGCACTGTCATCCCTGTGACACTTCCCTTTCTGTGGCGCTTTCCTCCCTGTGGCACTTTCCTTATTGTGGCACTTTTTCTCTTTCTCTTTTTCTTCTTCCTCCTCCTCTTCTTCTTCTTCTTCTTCTTTTTCTTCTTCTTCTTCTTCTTCTTCTTCTTCTTCTTCTTCTTCTTCTTCTTCTTCTTCTCCTTCTCCTCCTTCCCCTTCCCCTTCCCCTTTCCCTTCATCTCCATCTCCATCTCTTTCTCCATCTCCTCCTCCTCCTCCTCTTCCTCCTCCTCCTCCTCCTCCTCCTTCTTTCCCTCAATAGGGAATATAAGCTTATCAGCTTTTTTATTGTTACGCATTCTTTTGATTCTCCTCGCCTTTACCCCCCCCCCCCCCCCTTGTGAAACGACCTTGGATGGATGATGAAAAAAGAAGAAGGCGAGAAAGAATTGAGAGTAAAAGAGGAAGATAATCAGGATTAGAATAAGAAAAAAAGAAAGGATAAGGGGAAATCAATGGGAAGGAAAAGAAAAAGAAAAGAAGGAAACGAAGAAGGAATAACTAATAATGACAATAACGATAAGAGTGATGATGATGACGAAAATAATGGTAATGATGATAATGATGATGATGATGATAATGATAACGATGGTGATGATGATGATGATGATGGTGATGAAGATGATGGTGATGATGATGAAGATGATGATGATGATGATGATGATAACAATAGCAAAATGCATAACGACGGGAACCTACATATAGCACTCGAACTTGGCCCAACGTGTCTGGAACGCTTTGACTTCGATGTTCTTCGATGGTTCTGTTTTGCTCTTTGGTTTGTGTAGAAAGGTATATAGTTATTTGTTGAGTGTTTGTTGTTTTATTATTCACTCATTCATTCATTCGCTTATGCATTCATTCATTCATTCAATCGTTTTTTCGTGTATTCATTTATTTACTTATTTATCAAGGAATTAATTAATTAATTCGATTATTTATATGATTTATTTTTCGCCTCCCCCCCCCTTCTGTTGTGTGCACTTTGCGGGCTGTTGTTATTATCATTTTATTCTTCTTCATTTGACGAATGAAATTGTGCAACTGCCTGTAGGTGCTACGCCCCCCCCCCCCAGGTGAAAGAGAGAGAGAGAGAGAGAGAGAGAGAGAGAGAGGAGAGAGAGAGAGAGAGAGAGAGAGAGAGAGAGAGAGAGAGAGAGAGAGAGAGAGAGAGAGAGAGAGAGAGAGAGAGAATAGAGAGAGAGAGAGAGAGAGAGAGAGAGAAATAGAGAGAGAGATATAAAGAGAAAAGAAGCGAAGAGAAAAGCGCAAGACGCCGGCATATCTCGCAGAAAAGCTCCTCCGGAACCAGACGCCGGACGCGCCAGCCTTGAGTCTCGCTCGACCACAGAAGGCGACCACAGGCCCTTCGGCGCCCAGGTCCGCGTCCGCTACGGGGGGGGGGGGGGGGAGCGCATGGCAACTGAATTCGCGATACGGTTGGCCTGTCGTGGCGGGGAGGCTGGGGAGCAACGCGGGAGAAAAGACACATGGAGATGCGTACACGCTGACCGGCTAAGTGACTGACTGACTGACTGACTCGGTCGCTCGGTTGCTTGGTTGCTCACTCACTCACTCACTCATTCACTCATGCACTCACTCACTCACTCACCCACTAACCCACTCACTCAAGCTCGCTCACTTACTTACTCACTCAGAAACTCGCTCACTCACCCACTCACCCGCCCACCCACCCACCCCCACCCCCTCGAAGATGGAAGACAAACAGCATCTCCCATAGCAACAAACGATGTTGATTCTGTGACGTTTGCCATGGTCGTTGGAAGGAAAGGGGAGAGGAGTAAGGGAGGGAGGGATGAATGGAGGGAGGGATGGAGGGAGGTAGGGAGGGAGGGAGGGAGGGAGGAGGGATGGAGGGAGGGAGGGGGAGGGAAGAAGGGAAGAAATGAGGAATCATGATGGAGCGGGTGAAGAGAGGGAGGGAAGGGGATGGCGAGAGAGAGGGAGAGGGAGAGGGGAGGGGGAGGGGGAGGGGGAGGAGAGGGAGGGAGAGGGGGAGAAGAGGGGGCGTGGGGTGCCTGATAATGTGCTGATAAGGAAATGCCTTAAGATATTTGATGAAGGTGATGGTGAATGGTTGCACCGATGACAGCACTAATGGTTAGGATACTGAAGCAACAATCATTTATGACGAAAGAAAACAAACAAACAAAAAAAATATACGAAATAATAAAGTTAAAGCCACAAAAAAAATCTTCTAAGCATATTAAGACTCACATGACGTGTTTTATTCCACACAGATAAATAGAATGATAAATGATATATCAGTTAATGGATTAATTTACACATTTACCCGATTTTAAAACCTTGTGAACTTTTGTGGAAGCCTTTGTTTAATAAGTCATAAGGCCCCGTTTCCCAGCGCCTCCGTGGCCAACTAGACAATGTAACTCAATTTTATCTTCCGTTTGTAGATCGTGCAACTTTCCGCCTGACACTAATTTCGTCTTTTCCTTCTCTTGCAGGTATGTTGAGCGTGTTGCAAGGCTGGCTTCCGGTTGCTGTAAGTGGTTATGCTTTTAGGGGATTTTGTTGCAATTGGAAGCAAATAGAGTTTTAAAGGTTGGTGTCTTGTTTTTTACGTTACGTTCGTGAGGTCTGTCTCTCTCCCTGTCTTTCTGCTTGTCTATCTCTTGACCTGCCCGTATGTCTATCTATCTATCTATTTATATATTTCTGTCTATCTTGTCTACCTACTTATCTATTTATTTATGTATCTGTCTAATTATCTATATGTTTGTCTATCTGTCTATCTATCTATATGTCTGTCTATCTGCCTGTCTGACCATCAATCTGGCAAAACATTTCTACCATTATGTCTATTCATCTATCTATCGCCTCCATCCATACGATACCAGTTTCAACCAGAAATCTCTTTGTTTACGTCATCGCACATCATCCGAGCCCATTATTTTCTCTCGTATGGGAATGCATGGCTCGGGACATGGGGGGGGGGGGGGCAGAGAACGCGGCCTCTTAATGGCATGGGTGGCGTGTCGCCGGAGCCACATGGCGGAGAGTGCCACGCCACGCCACGCCACGCTACGCCACGCCGGCCCTTGCTGCCTGACACTCTCTCTCTCTCTCTCTCTCTCTCTCTCTCTCTCTCTCTCTCTCTCTCCTCTCTCTCTCTCTCTCTCTCTCTCCTCTCTCTCTCTCTCTCTCTCTCTCCCTCTCTCTCTCTCTCCTCTCCATCTCCCTCTCCCTCTCCCTCTCCCTCTCCCTCTCCCTCTCTCTCTCTCTCTCTCTCTCTCTCTCTCTCTCTCTCTCTCTCTCTCTCTCTCTGTCTATCTGTCCGTCTGTCCGTCCATCCCCCCCTCCCTCCGCCCCCCCCTCCCCCCTTCCTCGCCTGGTTGGCTAGGGGGAGGCGCGGCATGTCGAGATAGTTGTGTCAGTGCCAGGGTGCCAAAAGTTCTCCTTCCACCACGTGTTGCAAGTGCCAAGGATCACACACTCTTGCTTCACCCCCCCCCCCTTCTCCTCTTATCCCCTTCCTCTTCCTCCCACCTCTCTCCTTCCCTCTCTCCCTCTTCCTCCCCCCTCTCCCTCGCCCTCTCCCTCGCCCTCTCACACACTCGGGCTATTCTCGTTACCCATGCCACCAGCGCCTACCTGCTCACACGCACGCCCTCAGACCTCCGCACACGCCCATTCCCCGAACCCCCTTCTCTGTCTCTGTCTGTCTCTCTCTGTCTCTGTCTCTCTGTCTGTCTGTCTCTCTCTCTCTCTCTCTCTCTCTCTCTCTCTCTCTCTCTCTCTCTCTCTCTCTCTCTCTCTCTCTCTCTCTCTCTCTCTCTGTCTCTCTCTGTCTCTCTCTGTCTCTTTCTCTCTCTCTCTCTCTCTCTCTCTCTCTGTCTTTCTGTCTCTATCTCTCTGTCCTCTCTCTCTCTCTGTCTCTGTCTCTCTCTCTCTCTTTCTCTCCTCTCTCTCACTCTTTCTCTCCTCTCTCTCACTCTTTCTCTCCTCTCTCTCACTCTTTCTCTCCTCTCTCTCACTCTTTCTGTCCTCTCTCTCTCTCTCTCTCTCTCTCTCTCTCTCTCTCTCTCTCTCTCTCTCTCTCTCTCTCTCTCTCTCTCTCTCTCTCTCTCTCTCTGTCCTCTCTCTCTCTTTCTGTCCTCTCTCTCTCTCTCTCTCTCTCTCTCTCTCTCTCTCTCTCTCTCTCTCTCTCTCTCTCTCTCTCTCTCTCTCTTTTCCCCCTCTCCTTCTCCTTCTCCCTCTCCTTCTCCCTCTTTACCTCGGAGTTTCACCATCTTCGTCAAAAGATCATCACCTGTTCATCTTAATCATCGAACATCCGGGATCCATCGTTATTTTTTTCAAGTTATCGTACAGATGTCACCTATGGGGATGGTGCCAAGGGTACGATAATGTCTATATTAATCAAACCATAAGACATTTCGCGGTACTAAAAGGAGCAGAAGTCCCAACGCATTGTGTACCTGTACAAATGTCAGCGAAACGCGGAGCTGATGTGCGTGTCTGGGCCAAGTAAGCTCATGCCAACGTACATTCTTGCAGCAGAGATGTACATTCCCCAATAAAGCTGGTGATTATCGTGCATTCTTCGCCTCTTAAATATTTGATTCCAATTTGATCGAACTCTTTTTTTTATCTTTCGTTCCTCTTGCGTTTTTGGGTCCTTATTTTATCTGATAAAATGGCTTATCGTTATCGCATGTGAGATAAAGATATATTGGAGGACTCTCAGGAATGCGGAAATGTTATTGTTACTACGTTACGGTTTGCGTTCCTGTGTTACGCTCGCTAACCATAACATAAAGGTATCGTACACGTGGTCAGTCACATGTCATCGCGCATCTGCCATCACGGTCAAGTTACCAAACAGCGCCATCCTGGAAAATACCTTGCATAATCAGTGGTTATTTTTTCATTTGTTATGCTTAATTTCTCTTTGCATATTAACTGTTGTGGATTCAATTATGCCATCTTTTGATTCCTTTTTCATCTGCACAATGAAGAGGGGGAATGAAAGGTTGTACAATAATACCGGAACTCAATAGTAAGTGGAATTCACAGTATCACCCCAAAAACTTTTGGAATTTATAATTTGAAACAAATCGGTTCTTGTTTACGCAACAGCATCCATAATTATCCGTTAGCCTTGAGATTGTGATGAAAGGCATCCAGCGGAAGAGATGCTGTCTATTTCCACATATTTAACGAGGAAGACGAGGCTGTTGTTATCGTACCTCTGGCACCAGGGTGTCCACGCTGTCGTACCCAGGTGGAAAAAAAATATCGTACGACACGCTTCGAGTTCTCGATTTGGTTCAGATTTTTGTACAAGAAAATTTGTATTAATATCATATCCGCGTGGGCGTGTGCGTGTGTGTGTGTGTGTGTGTGTGCGCGTGTGTGCGTGTGCGTGCGTGTGTGTTTATTTGCAGACTGGAGGCGGCGTGGAGGCGTGTGTGGCCAGGGGGTTTTAGGGGTTGCGGCAACGGTTTAAATTTATGGTGCTTCTCTTGGCCACTATACGTGCAACCTCCCCCTCCCCTTCCGCCTCCTCTTCCTCCTTCCCCCCCTCCTCTTCCTCCCCTTCGCCTCTTCCCCCTTCTCTCTCCCACGCCCTCTCTCTTCCTTACGCTTCTTCTCTTTCGCCTTCTTATCTTTCGTCTTCTCCTTCTTCTGTCTCTCCTTCTGTCTCTCTCCCCTTTCTTCTCCGCTTCTTTCTCCTTCTTCTTCTTCTTCTACTTCTTCTTCTACTTCTTTTCTTTTTTTCCCCTCTTCGTCTTTTCTTGTTTTTCTTCTATTGCACCAATTGCTCCTCTCCCTTCCTCTTCCTCTTCCTCAGGCTTGTGCTCCATTGTTCCTTCAGACATGTTGATGACGTCACAGTTCCTTCAGACATGTTGATGACGTCACAGGTCCTTCAGATATGTTGACGTCACAATTCCCGAAGACATGTTGATGACGTCAGAGGTCCTTCAGATATGTTAATGACGTCACAATTCCTTCGGAGATACTAAGGACGTCACAGTTCCCGGAGACATGTTGATGACGTAACGGTTACTCCTTAGCCCTCCTCGCGGGCACATATCCCTCAGGACAGAGGATGAAACTCCCTATCTTGATGACGTCAGGTCCTCAACGCTTTCTTTCTCTTTCTTTCTCCGCTTTCACTCGACCTATGAGAAACTCCAGGCGTGAAGGCACTGTGCCACGGGATGATATAGTTTTTTTGTTTTTTTTTTTAATTCTTGATTTTTAATTAAAAAAGGAAGGTAGGGGGGGCAGGTATTAGGAGACTGGCTACCACAGAATCGGGGAAACAAGTATCTCTCGATATTTCATAGCCGGGAATTAAATCTATCTCTCAGAGCCAGAAATTAAGTCTCTCTACATTTTGTAACCAGGAATTAAGTCTCTCTCTATTCCAAAATCGGGAATAAAGTCTCCCCACGTTTCGGCATCGGGAATAAAGTCTCCTCGCACTGCAAAATCGGGAATAAAGTCTCCCCACACCACAGAATCGGGAATAAAGTCGCTTTACGCATTAGAGACACGGGACGGAAGTTGCCGCCGGAGTATATAGTGTGGTGAAAGTCCTTTTTCTCGTCATTTTCTTGAGGCGATGTAACATAAACCTACGAAGAAAGGAGGGAGAGGAGGAGAGAGGGAAGGAGGGAAAAGAGGAGGGAGGGAGGGAAGAGAGGAGGGAAGGAGGGAAGAAAGGAGGGAGGGAAGGAAGAGAGGAGGGAGGGAGTGAGGGAGTGGGTAAAGGGAGTGGGCAGAGTGTTCGAAGACGCACTTTGTTGAGACGCGTGGTCGAGCACTATTTTCTGAGTGTCTTTTCAGTCCTTTGAATGTTGAGTTGTCTTTGTGAATTCGAAGATTATACGTTTTGTTCTATTTTTCTTCTGCTTGTTTTTTTTTCTTTTTCTTTTTGAGGTTTTGAGTTGTTTCTTTACACTCACTTTTTTTCTTTTTTTGACTCGTGTAACATTTTTTTCTATTATTTTTCGTTTGTTTTCGGAATTGTTGTTATCACTGTTTTCTTTTGTTTTCTCTAAACACTTTTTCTTAATACGCAGTAGGTTTATATTCTTTATATTCGTATTTTTTCCGTATTTATTATTTTTTCTTCTTTTCCTTTTATTTCTACTTTGGCACTGGGTTGCATAGTTTTTGTACCACTTGCATATTTTGCTGCCATTGTTAGTTGCCATATACATTTTTTTCAGTTTATGGGACACTTCTTCACGTTTTCCTTCCCTCCGTCTCCATTCTAGAATCCTCCCTCCCATTTTTATCCGAGTCTCTCTCTCTCTTCTCTTTTCTCTCTGCTCTCTTCTCTTCTCTTTTCTCTCTTCTCTCTTCTCTCTTCTCTCTTCTCTCTCCTGTCTCTGCGTTTACCCAAAATTTTCACTTTCTACACAAATAAATATGAATAAATAATTGAATAGAAATAAATGAATACAAAAATCTCCTTTGTTTCCTACTTCTCACTTTTTTTCTTTCCGTATTCTCCCGAAATTTCAAATTGTACCCACTTTTTTTCTTCTTTTTTTTACAATTCGCCTCCAACACATTACTTTGACGTTTTTGTGATCATTTAATTTTCTTGGATTCAACGCTACTCTTCTCGTATTCTCCCTGTCTTTATCGGTTTCCCTCCTATTCTCCTAATTCCGCCGTCTAAGGGAGCGAGAATGTTGTAAATTGTTTTTTTTTTTTTCTCTCTCTCTCATTTTCACCATTCTTCGTCCCCATTTCCCTCACATTTCTCCTTGTATTTCTCTCCAATTCTCCATTCTCGAGTTGAAACTCCCCCCCCCCCCACTCCACCTCCTCCTTCCCCATCTTCGTTCCCCCTCCATTTCTCCCCATTCTCCTTCCCCCTCCACATTCACAGGTCCCTCCCCCATGCCCCATCTTCTCCCCCACTCCACCCCGCACTTCCCCTTCTCCCCCCCCCTCCTCTTCTCCCCATGCCCCATCTTCCCCACTCACCCTCTGTGCAGGCGACACCAGCACAGCGGACTCTCGCGTCGACGACTGGCTGCCGTGTGAGGGAGACGAGAGAGAGAGAGAGAGAGACAGAGAGAGAGAGGGAGAGGGAGAGGGGGAGAGAGGTAGAGGGGGGGGAGAGGAGGTTTGGGAGGTGGGGGACGGAGGGAGCTGGAGGAGGGAGAGAGGGAGAAGGGGAGGGAGAGGGGGAGGGAGGGAGGTAGAGGGCGGGAGGGGAGGAATAGGGGGAAGGAGATGGGGGGAGAGGAGGGTAGGGAGGTGGGGGATGCAGGGAGGGAGGGGAGGAATAGGGGGAAGGAGGTGGGGGAGGGAGGGAGGGAGAGGGAGGGAGACGAATAGGGGAAGGGAGGGGAGGTTGAAGACGCAGAAGGGAGGGAGAGAGGGAGGGTAGGGTGGGAGGGGATAGGGGGAGCAAGATAGGACGGGGAAGGAAGGGAGAGGGGAGAGGGATGAAGGAGGGAAGAAGGGAGGGAGGGAGGGAGGGAAGGGAGGATGGGAGGGAGGGAGGGAGGGAGTCAGTAGCCAGTTGGCTTGCTGTCTCTCCCGCCCCGCTGTATTTACGTAACACTCGGGGATATATACAGACGGCGTGGGGGACTGGGGAGGGGAGGGGGAGGGGTAGGGATAGGGGCGTATGTGGGGGTGGGTGGGAGGGGGCGTTGGGGGAGATATGCAGAATAGT